TGAGGCCTCTGTTCTGTTCCATTGGTCTGTATATCTGTTTTGGTACCAGTACCATGCTGTTTTGGTTACTGTAGCCTTGTAGTATAGTTTGAAGTTAGGTACTGTGATGCCTCCAGCTTTTGTTCTTTTTGCTTAGGATTGTCTTGGCTATACAGGCTCTGTGTTGGTTCCATATGTAATTTAAAGTTGTTTTTTCTAATTCTGTGAAGGAAGTCAATGGTAGCTTCATGGGGATAGCATGAAATTACTTTGGACAATATGGCCATTTTCACGATCTTGATTCTTCCTATCCATGAGCATGGAATGTTTCTCGTTTTTGTCCTCTCTGATTTCGTTGAGCAGTGGTTTGTAGTTCTCCTTGAAGAGGTCCTTCACATCCTTTGTAAGTTGTATTCCTGGGTATTTTATTCTCTTTGTAGCAGTTGTGAAAAGGATTTGGCTCTCTGTTTGTCTATTATTGGTGTATAGAAATGCTTGTGATTTTTGCACATTGATTTTGTATCCTGAGACTTTGCTGAAGTTACTTATCAGCTTCAACAGATTATGGGCTGAGACAATGGGGTTTTCTAAATATACCGTCATATCATCTGCACACAGAGACAATTTGAGTTCCTCTCTTCCTAATTGAATACCTTTATTTCTTTCTCCTGCCTGATTGGCCTGCCCAGAACTTCCAATACTATATTGAATAGGAGTGGTGAGAGAGGGCATCCTTGTCTTGTGCTGGTTTTCAAAGGGAATGCTTCCAGCTTTTGGCCATTCAGTATTATATTGGCTGTGTGTGTGTCATAAATCTTTATTTTGATATACATTCCATCAATAGTTTATTGAGAGTTTTTTTGCATGAAGCGGTGTTGAATTTTGTTGAAGGCCTTTTCTGCATCTATTGAGATAATCATGTGGTTTTAGTCATTGGTTCTGTTTATGTGATGAAATACGTTTGCTGATTTGCATATGTTGAACCAGCCTTGCATCACAGGGATGAAGCCGACTTGATCATGGCAGATAAGCTTTTTGATGAGCTGCTGGATTCTGTTTACTAGTATTTTATTGAGGATTTTCAAATCAATGTTCATTCAGGGATATTGGCAGACACCAAGCTAGCTGCAGGAATCTTTTTCCTTATCCCAGTGGTGCCTGGAATGCCAGCAAGACACAACCGTTCACTCCCCCTGGAAAAGGGGTTGAAGCCAGGGAACCAAGTGGTCTAGTTTAGTGGAGGCCACCCCCACAGAGCCCAGGAAGTTAAGATCCACTAGCTTGAAATTCTCGCTGCCAGCACAGCCATCTGAAGTCAACCTGGGATGCTTGCACTTGGTGGGGAGAGAGGCGTCTGCCATTACTGAGGCTTCAGTAGGCGATTTTCCCCTCACAGTGTAAAATACTGCCACAAGGAAGTTCGAACTGGGCAGAGCCCACCACAGTTCAGCAAAGCCGCTGTAGCCAGACTGCCTGTCTAGATTCCTCCTCTCTGAGCAGGGCATCTCTGAAAGAAAGGCAGCAGCCCCAGTCACAGGCTGATAGATAAAACTTCCATCTCACTGGGACAGAATACCTGGGGGAAGGGGCACCTGTGGGAGCAGCCTCGACAGACTTAAACATTCCTGCTTGTGGGCTCTGAAGAGAGCAGCGGATCTCCCAGCACAGCACTCAAGCTCTCCTAAGGGACAGACTGCCTCCTCAAGTGGGTCCCTGACCCCTGTGTCTCCTGACTGGGAGACATCTCCCAGCAGACGTCCACAGACACCTCATACAGGAGAGCTCCAGCTGGCATCTGGTGGCTGCCCATCTGGGACGAAGCTTCCAGAGGAAGGAACAGGCAGCAATCTTTGCTCTTTTCCAGCCTCCACTGGTGATACCCAGGCTGACAGGGTCTGGAGTGGACCTTCAGCAAACTCCAGCAGACCTGCAGCAGAGGGGCCTGATTGTTAGAAGGAAAACTAACAAATAGAAGGGAATAGCATCAATATCAACATAAAGCATGTCCACACAGAAACCCCGTCTGAAAGTCACCAACATCAAAGACCAAAGGTGGATAAATCCACGACAATGAGGAAAAACCAGTGCAAAAAGTCTGAAAATTTCAGAATGCCTCTCTTCCTCCAAAGGATCACAACTCCTCACCAGCAAGGAAGCAAAACTGGATGGTGAAGAAGTTTGACGAATTGACAGAAGTAGGCTTCAGAAGGTGGGTAATAAATTCCTCTGAGCTAAAGCAGCAAGTTCTAACCCAATGCAAGGAAGCTAAGAACCTTGAAAAAAGGTTAGGAGAATTGCTAACTAGAATAACCAGTTTAGAGAAGAACATAAATTACCTGATGGAGCTGAAAAAGACAAGTACTTTTTAAGAACTTGAACCCTCTGTAATTCACTCCTTGCTTATTTTTCCTAACCACTGTCTGTGTGTTATATTAAAAGTATTTTAAACATAAAAATGGACTGCAGGCAGAAGGTAAGTTTGAAACATTCTTTTACTTCACCATCAGCTGGAAGAAGAAGAGAGCCCAGAGAGGAAGATAAGAGTTGGTGGTATCTGGAAACGAGAAGTCTTCAGTGAAACCCTATTGACCTTCAGCGTGAGAGAAAGGATACACCAGAAGTTGAGTAATGACCCTGGGCTTCCCCTAAATCTTTAGTTCTTAAGAAATTTATGGATTCCCTGGAAATGCAAAAATAATGTAGGGGGAGGTAGTGTACTCATATTTAACTAGTGTAAACAGCTATTTATTCAGATATATACACTTGTCCAAGCATGCACTAGAACCTAATTAAAATATAATTTTCTAAAATGACTCTCATGTATGTAAATTAATGAGAGAACCAGCAGGATGGTAAAGCTGATTCAAAGAGAATTTAAGATACAATGTACATAGGAACTGAAAGAATGCTAAACAATTACTAGGTTAGATACAAAATTGATTAACTTCCTACTGGGCAATTAAACTATAACATTTGGATGTATCTTTTTTACCAGGTAGGAATCCCTTGCACCTTTAACAGATAAACACCTACAAGATTTCATGTGTAACTTTGGGGGTTAGCCTCAATCAATAGAAAATAATAAAATACACCAAGGCACAAATAATCTTATAAAGAATAACATAACTCTGTGGTGACCCCGATGGAGTACTCCAGCATGCAGGACATGCAGCCAACTTGACACTTTTAAGTCTAAGCCCAGATACTTTATTAAACAATGTGTAATAATACTAATAACTTTCCATTTATTGAGCTTTTATCTACTAAGTGCTAGGCACTGGGCTATCTTACCTGCTGTATCTTGTTTATTCCTCTCAACATTTCTGTATGTGAGAAGGTTGGGTCTGATCTCACATAACAAAGGGCTTGCAACTAGAATTTGAGATAGGCAAAAAACAAGAAAGGAATGAAGGTAGAAGGAAGTTGTATTCCAAGTCAGGTATCTTCATCAACAAAAGCAGAAGCAGAAAATTTTAAAGTATGTAATTTTAGAGTAAAAACAAAAGAATGCAGATCTCTAAACTTGTTATTCCAAACACATTTTGGCTTACTCAAATACATTTTAGACTAATTAGGTACTTTACATGTTTCACATATCACTATTTGTTACAAAGACAATAGGTAAAAAGACAAAAATGTTATAGTAGTTCTATGAAGAAGAACTGGAAAAGAAAAGAGGAAAATAATGTCTTGGATGTTTAATGTCCAAAGAGATAATATCAAACTTATTAAAATCAAGAGATGAACCATTTCATACACCTCAGTTTAATATGAAAACATGAGTTCCATTATACTATTTCACAAC